TAGGTGCCAGGTCCTGCACGAGGCACCAGGAAGTGAAAGATGAGCCACAAAGGCACCAGCACTCACATCGCACCAGCTGGGTCAAGTCCGCCCTCAGCCATGCCGAGTACCTTCTCTTTTGCCTGAAACTGAAGAATATGAGTTTTGAGAAAATCTCATGTGCACATGTATACATATACACACACACATTTGTGTAAATGTATACATGTAAAATATATGTATGGACACACACACAGGTATGCCTGAGTCGTAAGAGGGCGTTAGGAGAATGAATAAACCTAGGAGTTGGCACTGAGTGTGACAGTCTAGGCTAACTTTCCTAACCCCACAGTCAGGCTAAGGCGTCCATGAACACAGGTTTCTCTGCCGTTTTATCTCGTTTCTACGGGAAATACCAATGGTCTTTTCAAGCAGCTGGCCATTGCTACATTTTTCCATCTAAAGAAGTTCATTCATTACAAGGTAGGTGAAACTCTGCAGGAGCTCTCCTTGGGGTCCCTGGGCACCAGCCAGTTCAGGAGCCTCCTGCGGGATTCCTCAGGGGGACCTCAACTTCCTACCCCCCACCTCCAGCCTGGCACTGCCCTGTCCCCACTCCACTGCTCACAGATGAACCCCTGAAAGCCCAGGTGCCACTTCCTCCAGCACTTCTTTTCCCGAGTTCCAGAGTGCACAGAGCACCCCGTCTCCAGAAGCGTGGCATGCTCTGCCCGGGGTTACGGTTATTTGTTCAAATGGTTGCCTCACCACCGGCAGGGGCAGCAAGGGCTTCTTGGGAATCTGAATTACACAGAACCTGGCATTACACCAGGAACGCAACTGTTGCTCAGTCCAGGTCTGTCTCAGTGGACAGATGCCAGCAGCCTGCCTGCAGAGCAGGGATGATTTTGCTGCCCCCCAGTCCCCTCACCCAGTCCCACTAACATTTCCTGCCTCCCAGGAGTGGCTCAGACTTGGAAAAGAGTAATGACTCACATTTACTGAACGCTTAGCACGCGGCAGACACTGTGCCAGAAGCTTTTATACCCGTTACCTCATCTCGTCCTCCCGGACCCTCTAGAGGTAGGAAGCACAAGACGCACTAAAGGTGGGTACAAACACATCCAAGGACTGTCCCCAGGTCCCAGGAGAGAAGCGGGGCTGGGTCAGGAACCCAGAGCCAGGTAGCCTGGAACTTGCACTCTCAGCCACCCTGGAGAGCCTCCCCACCCTCTGCATAAAGATAAATAAAATCAAAGTGCCCCAGACACTTAGAACACCCTCTTTCCATGCCCACGTCCAGAGCAGCCTGCATTGTTAGGAAGCGCCCCTCCCTCTGTGGGTATCTGCCTCCGGCCCACTGGCCCTGGCTGTGCCTCTGCAGAGACAGAGTGAGTCCCATCCCTCCTTCCCGTGACAGTTCTTCAAATACCCAGGGCCAGCACTGCAGCTTCATTTAAATAACAAATTCGCCAGTGCATCTAAATACAATTTGAGTTACTCAAATTCAATTTACACACAGAATTTTTGGAATACCCTACATAACGTGCTGCTGATTAAAATAGTAGGGTGACCCCTAACGAGGTTATTGGATTCTACTATATACTTACCTGAAATTGACATTTAAATAAAAGTGAGCCAGATTCTTGGGTCAGGTTATCGCTACATCCTATTAATAATAAACATGTTCATTTTGCCAGATCGGTAATAATGTGAACATGGCACGGTATATCACATAAAAAGCTTCTCACCGTATCCATGGTTACAGCCAACACTTCAAGATCTGGGCTTCCTGAAACTCACCCCCAAAACCAACCACCACTAACCATGATCCCCTATTTTCTTTACAGCCAGTGCTATTTTAGTTCTGAACTCAAGTTGTAGGTACTTTCTTTGGGTTTTGTTTTGTTTTGTTTTTAATTCTTTCACTCTAACATGTACACTCTAACCATCAAAAACATAGTAAGTGATGATTTACAGAAAACGAATTCCCTCATTTTTAAGTGAAAGTTTAATTTAGCATAACCCTGCATACTGGGAACCTGGGTATATTATAGTTTTAATGTCTTACCTCACCTCTCCAAAAAATTAAATACATCTTCTAGTGAGTCTATTCTAGAAACAACTGGGGGAAATCACCCATCAATTGCCAGCCTGAGTGGAAAAATGGGGTGATTTTTCTAGGCTGGTGATATCTAATTGCTAACTGTTTACACAAATAACACACAGAGCTAACGAAACAGAAGCAGAAGCTGGCATTTTCCCAATGACTAGCCTGAGCAGCCTCTTATCCAAAAGCATTAAGAAGAAAGTAAACTTTAAAATGATTTGAGAGAAAGGTCTATTTTCATGACAGATGGCAGTGAGGGTTCTTCAATGCCAATTTAATCACTTTTCCTCAGTTTTCAAATGCTTCAGTTGTGAATCCAAGTGTCTGTGCAGCAGCACTGCATCCCTCATGGGTGCAGAGGGCTGATGACACGCACTGTGGTCTCGCTGACCGCGCCCCCC